CGGCGTCGTCTTCGGCTCCACTCCGCACCCCCTTGTGTTGCTCTGAGTCCGACTGCCCCCTATCCCCGTCCCCAAGATTCCGCAGTCCCCTGGCCCCCACCCCCGACTCGGCCTCCCCTCCCCCTCCTCTCGGGCGGATACAGCAAGGGGCTGGGCTCCGACCGGGAGCTGCGGCTCCATCCGCGCGGCCTCCGGACTCAGCGGGGCTGCGGACTGCGGGCAGATCCGACGACGCTGCCTCCCGCGTCCTCTCTCCCACCTGCCGTTACTGCGTGTCGTTTGAGGAACGGCTCCGCGCCGGGCGCTGGGAGCCGGGAGCCGAGAGCCTGACCCGAGAGAGAGCGGCGCCTCGCAGCCCCGCCGGTTTTCCAGGCCGCCGCAGATTCCGCCCCCTGCGGCCAAGCCGCGGAACTGTAGGGAGACACCCGACGGACTGGGGGCTTCTCTTCCAGATCCAGGAAGGAATGCGTTTTAAATGCTACTTGTGACGCTACAATAGTTCCGTGAACTTTGAAAATGACTACAGAAACAAAACCCAGTGATACTTACGATGGAACTCACAACGTGTTTGGCCAATAGGGCCTACATCATCCAGTCAAAAAATCCCCATTAATGTTGTAATGCACCATGCTGGTTACCCCACCTCTCAAATATTCTTCTTGTCCTCTTCTTTCTTCCACTCCCTAAATCGGAAAAATCCCCCAAAACGTCGAGCTTTGTTCCTCCATTGCGCCCCCTCCACGGCAACTCTAAAGGGGCAACGTCCAAATCTATCCCTGGACACTGTATAACATAAAATCTCATCATAATTTCACACAGCCACCGAGACTTGAAACTGCAAAACCACGTGTTTTCTTCCTTTCTCCTAATTTCTCTGAATCCAATTGGTCAACAATTCTTGCTAATATTTTCTTTGCAATTACTTTTTTTTTTTCTTAATTGTGATATGGGTGAAAGTTTACAGAGCAAATTCACTTCCATACAGTAGTTCACATACACTTTGTCTCATGACATTG